AAAAAGGTGAGTTTACAGCTTATAAATACCACATTCATTTGCTCTCTTTTTGCAACAACTCATTACCAAGCTTTGTTCTCGTCACTCTCGTTTCATTTTCTTGATCTCGTGAATCACGAGCTCTAGACTTTTGCTATTTCCTCTCTGTAACATCTAAGCACTAGCTAGTTTTATTCTTCTTGTTAAAAATTAAAAACGAGAAGGATGGAGAAGATATGGAATTGCGTATATGAGTTAAGGCCATTGATGTTCATGGTGACGGTTCAGGTGGTTTTCGCCGGCGTGAATGTGCTGTACAAACTGGCTGCGAACGATGGGATGAGTTTAAAGGTCATTGTTGCCTATCGCTTCGTATTTGCGGCGGTTTTTATGGTGCCTCTTGCCCTCATTGTTGAGAGGTTTGAGTTTTTTTTTTCCTTTACCTTATTATGCTTTAATTTAGCTTCGTTCGTAAACTCATTCAAGTTTTTGTTGAAACAAACATGGCATTCTAGCTGCACATTTTTCGCATTCCATAACTTATAACCTTTTTAGTTATGGAAAGATCCATAATTTATGTAAGAAAATCTTCCAAGAAATATTTTTTTTCCCTTTTTCATTCATTTAACTTTTTTTCATGGTTAATTTCTTTGGGTTAATTAGATTGTTCAACAGTAGTCTTTAATTCCCCAAGAGTGTGGATGTTTCAAGAAAAATCAATTATGCTTATGGTATTAAAGGTGAACTTGTCAATATTAAAAAAATAAATTAAAGCCTACTTCCCTATTAAAAATTAAAAATAATATCGTACACTGAATATATTTCATTTCACTTTTATATTTCTGTTTGTAAGAGGGATGTTTGTATACATATTCACTTACGGTTGCCGTTTTGCTGTTTTTCTTGCGCAGAAAGAGGCCAAAACTGACTTGGACTGTTCTTCTTCAAGCATTTCTTTGTGGCTTATTGGGGTAATTTTTTATTTTTATTTTTTTAATTTTCTTATTTAAATTAAAGATTTTGGAGCAATTTGTATATTTAAACAAACATTATTTTTAACATTAATGTCATGGGAAAGATTTTTTTAAATTAAATAATTGATAAATTTAAAGTTTACTTATTTTTTTTAGGTAAATTAATTTTAAAATGATATAATTAACACACCAAATTAAGAAAACTCTTAAATAAAAAAATAAAAAAAAATATATTTATCTTAAAAAGTAAAAAATAAATTTAAAATAAAAATAATAATTATTAAAAAAAGAGAGTATATAAATATCTCTACCTTAAAGTAAATAGATGACAAGAGAGCAAACTCCACCAATACTTGCAAACCTTTCTGCTATTTACCAAAGAAGACTATGCATTCAAAAGAGTCAAGAATTAATGAACGTGTCCCGATTTCAAGTACCTACTGTGCGTACTTTAAATTTATAATTTCCATCTTTCTGGCTCTAACTATTAATAACAAAAAAACAAAGAGAAGAAA